GAAAACAATGCTTCTGCATTTTTTTTGATGGAGGCGGAGAAAAAAGATGCATCATGGTCTATGTGGCAATGGTGAATGGCTAAAAGCGAAGCTCGCGTTCACTTATGCATTTATAATTTACTCCAGACAATGAACTTGGAACCACTACAAAGAAATCAACCAATCTATACTTTAGGGGAGGACCAAACGACTTTCTGTGATCAATCAAAAGCTAATAACTGGTTAGCGAAAAACCTACAAAAACACGTGACCTCAATGAGATGGCACATGAGCCCGCGAAACGGCTATGACATCCTGATCAGCGGATACGGGCAAAAATATTGTCAAACTCTTGGCAATAAGCTAAACTCATCAATTCGAATTATTTTTGACAGATTAACCTTCAAAATTTCTGAAAAAATTGCCCAGCTTTTAGGTAAGATAAAAATACCGTAAGCTTAAGATTTATAAGTTTATATTTTCCAAAAAAAATCGTCCTCTGAGGGGACATGTCCTTACTGGTAATGGATAATCTTTACAATGAAGAGGGGAAATGGCCAGTACCTATAAATGTATGGTCTGGAAGAAAAACGTTCTCGCCGTGTGCTGCGAGGAAAATTATTTTCCAAAAGGAAAATTTAAATATCATTATTTCATCAAATGTTAATAGTTTGTTTTATTCAGTGTACCTTGTTTTTTCTCTTCTTTTCTTTTCTTTTTTCAGTAAGTTTGTTTCCTATTGCCAATTTGTTTGCCGTGCGTTATCTTTGGGACATATGTAACGCGGATAAATGCTGAGTCGTGACACATCGCGCGGTAGACCTTTTTACTTGCCTTGTTTACGTTCGCACGTATTGCGTGCCTGTTAAAACTTTGAATCAAAACGAGCGAACTCGTTTCTTCTCTACTTACGTTTGTTTGCTAATTGCCGCCAATTTAAATAAAGGACGTATGCAAAGGCCATATCATCCATGATTTATATTACCCTATTCTTACCTCATCCACTTGCTTGGTGGCCTTGCTTGTTTCCTCTTCCATGAGTATATATTTTATGCAAAGTAACTTCATCTCTGCTTTGTATGGGACAGGAAAATGTAGCTTTTCAACATCACGTGATCCTTCGAGTTTGACTTTATGCAGAGGGACCACTTAAGATTCGGTACAAAACTTTAAGGCAACTTGCGTTCGTATTATTTTTCATTTGGCGTTATCTAATTTATTTAAATTAATGTTTGGCCACTAAATGTGGTTTAAACTTTGTTTTCTACTTCTGTTATGATCATTCTTAAAGAAATCGTCGCTTTAAAATGCAGGCCCAGGTTGAGGTTCTTGAGGCTCAGCATTGAATAATATATTTCTTTTTTTTTTTACTTCCCCAAGCTTCGGAGCCAAGTATGAATTTTCATATAACGAAAACTAATTTAGCGAGAAATTGTAAATATTATTTTGCCACTCACAGTAGTCTCTGTCCCTACCTGGTCCATCAACATTTCCAGGTTGTCCCACGATAGGCCCGTCTGGCTTTTGCAGTCCTGAATGCGTGTCTGGCAGGGGACAGCAGTGTATTGGTGACCTGAGATGTAGGTATTTTTGACCAAGTAACAGACCTGACAAGTCAAACTTGGCTATACCGTACGGATCCCAGGGCTTGTCACGGTTGCTGAACGGGTTGTGAGTAGTGCGGCGACGTAACAACAATAATCATAGCACAAGCTCACTGAGCTCATATCTCTATTTTCCATGATTTTCCGTCGCTGGTATTTTTTAACCTTGAATAGGGGCAATTGACAAATGGTAAACACAGGATATTTCGGTGACTTCAATAGCAACCAAGAATCCATTTTTTGGAAATTCACACCTCACGAGCAGCGCTAATTGTTAACCGTTTTGTGCCACTTGTTTGGTTCACATCCCAAGTGGTTCCTAACTTGTGCCCAGACACCACACTACTCATTTTGCACAGCGTGGCCGAGTGGTCAGCGCGTCGGACTCGCAATCCCGCGGTCCCGGGTTCGAGCCTCGCTCTGGCCACCTGCTGGATTTGTGCTCGGTCGTCCCGAGTTCTAATTCTCGGCCACGCTTGTAAATAGCCAACTGGTTGTCTCCTGCCAGTTGGGGTTTTTAATCCTGTTATGTTGTATTTGAATTATTTGTTTCTAATATTTGAGTGGAGTGCCTGTAAATTAGCTGGACAAGCTAAGTGCCCTTTCCACTATAAACAAGCCTTTAACCTTTTTAACCTTTTGTTCCTCGTCGTTCTTCTAGAGCAATTTAATGAAAGTCATCCGTCATAAATCAAACTGAACTGGTGAAGGTGCACTTTTGATATTAAAAGTTCAATGATCGACTTTTCATTGAGCGGCACTGTTTCTTTACGTTCTTCCTATTTTTAATGGTAAAAAGGCTGGTTCGGTCTTTTTTTTGGTAAGAAATTACTTTAGAGATCTTCCATAAAACAACTGTCGTGATCTGTACAAACTCGCCAATCCAGTTACCAATAACTCTGTTTGGCTAAACAACGCATATTAAACCTTTAAATTTGGAGATTAGACTAAGTACATGTACAATCAACTCTCTCTAAGATGGACATCTTTATGGGACCGGCACTGTGTCCACTTTGGAGAGATGTTCTTCTCGTAGAGAGTCAAAAAAAAGAGGAGTAAAGAAAGGCAGGGACCAACTCTACATGTAGGTTAGCCTACGAGCAACTTCTCCGGGGCGTTCTGGCGGCGGGGCGGGAAAACGAAGGAGAGCTTGCAACTACGTCTTTGGAATTAAAATTCAGCCTCCAATTTCCCCGTGGCTCCTCGTCGAATGAGCTGTCAGATTCCCGCCAATCAGCGTGAATTTAAACAAACATTGAAAAACACGTGCCAAGAGTAATGACGTCATTACTGTCATCTCCGCTAGTTAGCATTTCGCATCGACTTTTCGATGCAGATATTCAAATTCCAGAGACATAGTTGCAAGTTTTCCTTCCTTTTCCCGCCCTGCCGCTAGAGCGCCCCGGAGGGCTTGCTCGCAGGCTACATGCGGGTTCCCGTTATACCGAGGTGTTAACGTCTTGTGGGGGTGTTCGTTAAGAGAAAGTCGACTGCAGGTCGAAACTCCTCTTATACCAAAGAAATGAAAACGTTCGCAGCTGTAACTTTTTCGGTTAATTCGCCAGTCTCTTACCTGCCACAAGGCTAACGTTATTTATCATCTCATCCTCTGTATTTTCGCCGAATAAACTTGGTTTGGGTTTCTTTTGTTCTATCTTACGATCCCTATCATGGACCTCAATCTGAAAATGGGGCCCTTGAAGATATTCCACCAGACCACCTTTATCTAATGTGCCTAGAAGGACCACATTTACATCTTCCCAGAACACATCGCTGCCTTGCTATCGACCGGTACTTTGGTGAACAGGCTGTTTGTAAAATTGGTATGAAACGTTGGCGGGTTTGCATCTGAGACGAAGAAAATAGACGTTATTAGTAAGATCATACAAAACTTTTAAATGTGGCTAAATGAAATTTAGGCAAAGTTAACCTCAAAGCAATGCTGATGAACAGTTTTCCCACTGAGAGCGGAAAATTTGAGCCCGATAAACCGAATGGTTTCGGAGAAATTCTCTTCTAAAAACTCGAAATTTTACAGAGAATTTATGGCTCATTATTAACTTTTTTGTCCCCCAGCAATTTCTCAGTTTTTAATGACTGATATTTCCTTCAATATTGCTTGCAAAGAGCTGAAAATTGCACAAATTGCTCAACTTAATCAGCTCTTTCAACTTTTGCATTTAATTCATATACAGTATATACGGCCACGGCTTCTATGAGTTAAGTCGTATGCTAATGAGGAAAAATGTAAACAATGACGTCAGCCAAGGTCCGCCTAGAATGTAGAAGCTAAGAGTTTTACAACGTCATTTCCCACCATATTCTTAAGCCATGCGTTTGCCTTAATTGCAGGGTTATTAAAACGGCTTTTGCGCTCACCTTGGGATAGGACGCTTGGGTACTAGACCACATTATCCTTATTGGGAAAAACAAATTTATGTGAGCGGAATTTGTCCTAAAAAGGATTTTGCACCCAGTTATTTTGTAAGAAGCCTCATGCAAAGGGTCACTTTCGTACCTCGTTTATACAGATCATAAACAAAGTAGAATTTATAATCGTAAAAAATAGCCATGCATTTTTTCCTTTTGTACAATCCCATTCAATTCTACGAAACCATACACAACCAAAAAATAGCATCAAGTCAAGGGGACCAGGAAACGCGTTTGAAAAGGCGAACCTAGATTAGAATCTATCATTTTCATCTAATTAAAATACGCTGTTTAACACCGCCCAAAGCGCATTTTTAACGCCGCCAGTAAATTTAGGCCGAAGGACAGGTTTAACTTACATTCACAGAGAAACAAAAGGAAATTTTTGATTGGATGAAAGTGGCGCCAGATTTTCCAGCCAGTCACATAGCGTAGAAGTGTAAACCAAAGCAATTAAGAAATCTGATAATCATTTTTCAATCTCTTTCGCAAAACTGACGTAATGGAGTGGAACCTGAATACTTCTAATACTCCAACAACCGCGGGTGCCTCGCTGGCAACCGCTTGATAAAGGTTCGAAGTGAAGAAGTGAGGAGAAATGTTGGATCAATTTAGGTTCCTGGGAAACTGTCCACCTACCCCTTCCCTAATTAACCCAACATTTTGCCCCAAGTGAGAAGTAAGTGTTAATGTTAACTTAGGGAAGGGGTAGGTGGGCAGTTTCCCAGAAACCTTTAAAGCGACAGGTTCACGGTTCAGCGCATGCTCATTAATTAAATTACTTTTTTCCAATTTATTATTAATTCTATCGTTTAATAATCCCACTCACATGTATCTCAGCACTCTCAGAGTGTATTTCAAAGTAGAAGTGTATTTCAGAGTGACCTGAAGTAGCATGGAGGTGTACTAAAATCGAAGAAAAAACCAACACTGCCAACGTTGAATTTACTGTTGACCAGAAGGTTTTAATCCATGGTTAATGAATTTACAGCTGTTTGCGCATAAGTTGATCAAGTGACTGCCAGGGAAGTGTGCAGATTGGTTCTTTGACAACATTATGACATGATCATATTGCTTGCATAGACGATACAGCTTGTTTAGGGAGAAAAAACGCATTTTGATTAATGAGCATACGCTGAACCGTGAAACCTTGAAACCATTTAATACGGGGATTCCCAAGTGCACGTTTTAATTTGATGCAATATCAGGCAATCGAAATCACCTTCAAAGATCACCTGAAAACGCTTCAATTGTACAAAGAAAAGACAAGTAAATCTTTAGTTTTAAGGTATTTTTATTGACAGCCTTGCTGTAAGCCCTGATTATTTTTATTCAAGGCACTATACTTCAAATTTGCCGTATCCATAATACGTATTTCAAACCGAGGGTAGATTGTCATTAATGAAAAAAGCTGTACATGTGGTGTGAAGAGTAATTAAATTGCCATGGAAATAATTGTTTAAAACTTTCATTTGTACATATACAGAGATCATTTGAAATAAATTTATGACAAAAAGTCTGAACGTTTTGACGTCCTTTTAGCGCCTTTAGTGTTGAGGCATCTTCAGATTCCGCGAAATAAATTAGTTATAGAACATGAAAACTTTGTGTATTTTTCTAAAATGTGACTACTGTAATGATTGAATTTCCTGAGGCACTGTTAATTATGCTGTACAGGGCGGTTGAACTTTCGAATCTACGGGGAAAATCGCGAGGTGGGAAAAACCCAATAAAAGCTTTTGAGCAATACTTTAGGCGAAGCGCTATTTGTAAGCTGCTTGTTTCATTTTTACATTTTAAGTAGAAAATTTTAAATTCTTTAAAGATTAAGCTTTTGCCAATTTCGAAGAGAAGTGATACCGCCAATTATTTTCAGCTCAGTTCTGAGGCTACAAGGACAATTGAAAGCACAAATAAGATATATTTAATACACGCGTAAACAAGTGTTAGCTGCAAATGTCCACCACGGGAAAAAGATGATTGTTCCTCTCTTCATCTGTTAATGGTTCAATAGGTCGACGGCAAAGAATGTCTTTGTTTTTATAGTACAACCTGTTGGAGAACAATTGATAACCAAAGTTATTCTCAAGAATATTGTGAAGCTTAGCTTGAGTTCTTTGTTAAGTATCATTTGTTCCGGTGACAAGACAGGATAGAATACAGTCGAACTTTTACTAACGGCAACTTCGCTTGTCCCGGCTTGGCTGACAGTCAGGGAAAGGTTTGTTTATAGTGGAAGTGCTCTTAGATTACCAGATAGCTTACATGCACAACACTCACATAATAATCAAATATAGTCAACTCCCTTTATAGAGGACACTGTAAACACCTTGAGTTAGTGTCCTCATTAGCAAGAGTCAGTAATAGAGGGGGTTTATCTCGGTCAAACATCTCTAACATATTCTTCCCTGGGATTTATCTGCTGTCCGTGTTATCGGGGTGTCTGTTATAGCGGGGTGTTCGCAAGGCGAGAGTTACTTATCCACAGCATAGCGATTTATCCTTTCCATTTTGCTATCCATCCCTTGAACAACCGGGGCTTGGTTTAGTCCTTCCCCCCCCCTCCCCCACTCCTTTTTGCATACTAGTCACTAGTTATTGACAGCTTCGACCAACATACCTAAAATCATGGCCCTTTAGGCTCTTAAACTTCTCATGTTCCTGATCCGCTATAGGCACCTTATTCCTCTCCAGTAACCAGCCCTCCTTTTCAAAAGGTCCCGGGTAAAATCCTCGCTTCTCTTCTTCAGTGCATTTCCTCCTTATCGGTTCTAACCTCCCAGTTTTTCTTGCTGGCGTATCAACGTTGGGGTTTGCAACGACTCCAAGTGAGGGAATTTCCTCTAGCGTAAGTCCTGCTCGCGAAAGCGAGAACTTTTTCGGAGAGTTTTTAAGAAGTCCTTCCAGCTTTGAAAGCTGGTTAGAGGCCCTAGGACCGCGGTCCTCGAGTTCAGTTTCTGGTAAACAACGATGCGTGCGAAAGACAATGTCGTCTACCACAATTTTTTCCCGCCACTGACGCGTAAATGCCAATGCTGCGTCACTCTGTTCCTGCTCTTTTGTGTCGCCTGCCGCGTGAACAGAGAGCACTGGGTTCTTGTCGAAGAAGGGAGGTGGAACAGAGAGTAAATTCAGATCACTGTCACGATACTCCCATGGAAAGTTTTCCCTGCAGGGTGAAGAAAATAAAGTCTCAGACTTTTGCCTTCAAAGACGTTTAACCTTTGACATCTCCATCAAGTCCCGCCGCAAGCATGCATGCCACATGCAAGAAAAATACAAAACGACTGCAAGCTACATGCAAACCACGTGCAAGCTCAAATTAGGAAATAAGATAACCAGATGGGATATTTTCTCATGACGTCAAGGGTCGCCATGTTGTAACTAGATTTGTGGGAGTTACGCTTTTTTTAAGGGGGGGGGCCAGTGAAAACGCTTAATATTTTGCAATCGGGAATCGTGCTACATGATGGTTCCGGAAAGTGAAGTCCCAAAGAAGGCTGTTGGTATGTCGGTGACTGGGGCTGAAGTGTCCAAAAATCTGGGCGGTCAACATCGAGTACAAATTTCTCACAGCAAATCAGAGGAGCAAAGATTGCACTCCTAGCAGTGAAAAGAAGCTTTAACTACATAACTCGTGTACTTACCTGTCTACTGTAGGCTTCAAAATGTTGGCGTGCAAAATATTTTCTTTCCATGGCTGAGAAGAAAAGAGAGGAAAAGACATGTTAATCCTATCATCCGTTAAACCGTTCTCGAAATTTAAATTTAAATTTTAACTTGTAATACTATCATTGGTTGTCTTTACACTAGGCTGTTAAGTAAGACTTAAGAGTTGCTAAGCTTTACTTAACCAAAAAATACGTGTGAAGGCCTAACTAAAATCTCATTCCGACAAGTAACCTTACTTTGCATCCCATTAAAGTCGGAAAGTTGAAACGATTCAAGAAAGTTTCAAGTGACTTGAAAACCATCCTTAAAACCGACTTAGCGAACTTGCGTTTCTAAGCTTTGAGAAAGGCGAAGCATGTCAATCAATCTTAATTATTTTGTGTGGGAAACTAGGCTTAAGTAAACCTGATGTAAAATAGATAGCTTGAGTGTTGAAGCTTTCTTTCAGGGGCACTCAACGAGAATATAGTTCAAACAACTTAAGCATAGCGTTATTAAACGTATTTTAGTATTTAAACGGTAGATATAGGCATATTTTTATCCCCCAAAAATTTTTCATCTGTTCGGATTTCCTAGCTGAAAGTCTAGTGATCCGAAAATTATAGGGATCAAAACTTACCTTTTCGAAAATTTCAGCAAGAAAAAAGGCTCCCGAAAATTTTAGGTGACCTTTTTAGGGTAAAAATCCGTTAAAAATGGGCAATTATACCATTTTTTAGAAGTTCGAAAATCCTAGGAGAGGCAGGCAAGCAAGAAATTTTACAACAAATGTTCCGAAAATTCTAGATCTCAAATCGTCGTCCGAACAGATATTTTCCGAAAATTGACGTTGGGTGCCCCTGTTCTTTTACTTGAAGAATTTACAATTTACTTCTCTTGAAATATTTCTTAGCTTATTTAGGCTCTAGTATAAAGACTACCATTGAGGTCCCCTCCCTTTCATCCCACCACCAGGCCATAAATGCCAGTGTACATCAAGGTTTGAAATAAGCGCTTCACCGCTCACCAAATGCGGGCTTCTTAACCTGATAATGCATTCATCAAAACGTTGCTGTAGTTTTAAGTTAGCTTTTTCTTTTGTAAAGGCGAGACAGTGCCAGCATATTAATTTCTTAACACTCATAACTTATTCCACATCAAAAGAAAGTGTAAAAAGGCAAGGACTCCCCAAAATCTTCGAGTTTATTGGAACTCTTGAGATATATTAGTGAACTTACGAAACAGAACGGGAGAGGAAGAAGACGACAAACCTTGTGTGACAAGCGTGACAATAATTTTATTTTAAAAAACTTTCCGGCAAACTTCACCCTCTTTTTAACAGATCTTACTGTAAAAGACCAGAAAGCCTTAATGGGAAGTAAAGAACACAACAAAACGCGCAAGTAATAACCATGTCACGTTTGTCACACACAAGCGTTTTGCCGTCCTCTTCTATCTGCCGTCCTGTTACCTAAACTCACTATTACTACGATTAGGCCTGCTGGGTAAATTATGGTCCAGGTAGCGGACAATTCTCGTACCTTATTAAGTTCGTCCACCCGAGCTGAGTCAGGTTTCTTAGGGTGTACGTTTGAGACCATCGAGGTCTTTTTTCCAGGGAATATAAATCCTTTATTAGTTCTCCAGAGTGCTTTGGAGTCTGTAAGTTCTCGTTTCTTTACAGTCTGTGGGTGAATGGGGAGAACTGTAGCAGAGTTGTATAAAGGGCAGTAGGTAAAACGTCTATCTTTCCCCTACGAAGGAATAAGTAAAATTAGGTTATTGAAGCGACGATGCCAAGTTTACACCTTGCGAGCCGAAGTGGCCACAGCCCGAACTTCTGGACAAGTCAAACTTGTTTTCTCTCGTCAAACTGTTTTTTTCGAGTGCGAGCATAAGTTTGTTATGCAATGTGGTGAATATTACGCGCGCTGTGATTGGTCGTTGCCCATGATCTATTTAAGTACAGACATATGGATGACGACACAGGTAATCAAGCAATAGATGGCAATGATCGGAAGACAGGAGAAAAATGAGGGAAAAATCAACCGGCGCCAAGAACGGGTAACCAAGCAACATATAGTGATGGAAGGGTAGCGTACAACGGGTATCATTTAATTACATACCCTGGCTAGGACTTCTCTTAGCTTTTCTTTGGCCAGTTCAGTAGAGTTCAGGGTCTGTATGCTGTAGTTATGCGCAGTGTATTGATGAAGACCAGTCATGTCTACAGCAATAGTGTGCGGTCTTCTTTTAGGTTCTGTTGTACGAGTCCTCATCTAAAGTAAAAAGAATTTGACAAGATAGCTCATTAAATCCGCAATACCAGACTTAACAGTATCAAACGCAAGTCCAAATATTGTAGAATGTACCAGGCGCTCAGATAGTAAAGACGTCACGAAAACAAGCTTAGCGAAAATAAGACGCGCGGTATCTGGGGAAGGAGGCACGCGCTTAAGGACTGATGGGATAAAAGCGATGTCACGTGGTTTCTCCGGGGGCAAACATGTGATAAATTTTTCCAATACTAGAAATCGCGGTCGAGTTTGTTTATTATTGACAACAGAAAATGGACAACTTTTTACATCAAAGACGATAATGGCAAATTATGGTTGAGAGTGATCATTTTTACTTGTTTGGATGCAGTAGCGACTGTAGATGTCCTTACAGCAAGCAATAACGACGTCAATTTTGTCGAAGCTCAAACCGTACATTGTGCATGACTATTTAATCGTCGTTTCGCTTTAAGAGAATAAACAAAGTCGACCGCGATTTCTCGCATTGGCAAATTTTATCTTTTGTTTGCCACCTGAAATACCACGTGACATTGCTTTTATCCCATCAATTCTAAAGCGCGTGCAAAGATGGCGCGTATCGTGAATAAGGTCTATTCCTTGTTCAGATACACCACCATCCGCCTTCTCTCTCCCCAGTCCCAGCTCGTCAACTACGCCTGGTAAATCAACAAACGTACCAATAAAAATCTTTTTTATCAGCAATATTAAATATTTGTTTTACTTACAATATTCTCTTTGACGAAGTCATGTTTAACCAGTTGACCCTCTCTTTCCTTAAGAAGCGCAACATAATCAGTGTTGTAAAGGGACAAGGGTGTCCACGACCGAGTTGTCTTGGGTCTAGGGTCCTCTAGTCCGTTGCCTGTACCAGCCTCTTCCATTTCGGATCCATTACTGGACTCTAGTTCTAGACGGCAAAAAAGAGCGATATTTGTCAAAGCTCTATTATTCTGTTTAAACAGTTTTGAAATGGTATGGTACGGTGGCTTATACAAGCACATTTAAATATACTGTATATAGCACAACCACAATTCACGGAAAATCATGAACAGAGCGAGATAGAACGAGAGCTCACGGCAATATACCGAGAAACGCACGGAAACGCAACGAGTAATCACGAAAAACACCGAAAACTCACGAAAACAAAAAGTCAACTCAAAGGGAAACACTATAAGAGCTCACAGCAAAACCAACCAAGAAATCACAGCGACACAACGAGAGCTCGCGGCAAAATATTGAGAACTCACGGAAACGCAACTAGTAATCACGAAAAAACACCGAAAAATCACGAAAACACAAAAATAACTCAAAGCAAAACACTCTGAACTTTAACCCATTCGCCCCTGAACCGCCCGTAACCGCCCGTGCGGATCCAGGTCCTCCCCTTTGTGACGTCATCAGTTTTAACGGTCAAGGACAATTTTCTTCGCTAACTTGTGTAGAGTGAAGAGATCTTTCAAACCATACCAGAATAAGCACAATTCAGTCAAGGACACCGGAGAAAGAAGCAAAAAACCACGTGACATTGACCTGAAAATCTCCATGAAAATCTTGTTCCATTACCCACCTACCTTTCCTTTCACCTAATCCTAAGATCCTAAAAGCTTTCCTAAATACTCTTCCCACCAAAATGAAGCCTACTAAATGCCCAGCAAGAGAAAAAAAAATGAGGCAAGAAAAGCGAAAAAAGAAGGGAGGAGAAAAAGCGAAAAGTAAAAGTCAAGACTGCCTCGAAATTTTGCTTTCTGCGCATGCCCGAACTTCGCAAGCTGATGTTTTGCATCTGGATCAGGAGGCCGCCAAGTGTACGGCCTGTAAACCGGTTTGTGGTTAGTTTTAGCTCTTTATAGCACGACAGTGACCAGAAAACCACTCGACTAGCTTCAAAACACGTTTTTCGGCAAAATCTCCAGGAGCGAATGGGTTAATACGGCAACACAACGAGAGCTCACAGCAAAACCAACCAAGAAATCTCAGCAACACAAGGAGAGCTCACGCCAAAATACTGAGAACTCAAGTAAGTGAAATAATTTGACGGTGTCAGCAGCGAAGTGGGAAAAGGATACAGCAAGGACAAATAGATTTTAGCAAGGTGCGCAGGCCGTTGGAAATGTCCTGAAAAATATTTCAGGAAGATTAAGAAGGAAAAGACACCACCACACATCGGCATCATGCAGCACAGGGAAACAGAAGAACTATACGGAGGGTTACTTGCAAAAGTGTACAGGAAAAGTACAGAATGAGCCACTTCAGACCTTAACAGGTTCTTTGAGTGTAGTTCTAAATAAGTAGAAATCAGAGACTTTAAGTGATGACCGCGCAACTCTGTCACTCTGAAGATGAAAGACCTCTTCGCAGTCCTAGAAGGATGGAGAAAAGCAGAGAGAGAGCTGAAATCTGGAAAGCAGGATGTAAAATAATAAATTGAGTAACAAGGTCGTATAGCAAGGAAAATTAGAACAAGAGCAGTTTAAATGAGATCCTTCGTGCCCACACGTTCCCGGGACTCCATCTTTGCTGTTACACGCCGCGCGTCGGCCACCGGCTGCGGCACCTGTCGCTGACTGGCCTGCGAACTGCAGACGTATTTCCGGTCCTCGGAGGGAGAGAAGCGACGGCCGGAAATACGTCTGCAGTTCGCAGGCTAGGCGTTGAAAGGCGGGAAAGATTGCTTTTGAGGAGGTTGTTAGACGCTTCTTATTTTTATCCTTCTCATTACACTTTGCGGTCTCTGTTTCCAACAATATAACGAGAACTAGGAACGAGAGCGACTTAATTGTAAGTGTTTTATGCGCTGGAAGTCACCATTGGTAGCCCATCTTCTATGAATGATTACATAATTCTTCCAAGTGGAGGTTTTATAAACACACATGCTCCTCAGAAGAATTACACATGGTGTTATGAAGGTATGACCACAAATCTATATAAAGAGATATGCCTACATGTGTCTTTAACCATGATAATAAATTAAATCGCGACTTCTGACAAACTGTGAGAGAAGAAAATGACTTCCAAGAAAGCCCAGCTTAAGCGTGCTGACTTTTTCAGTTCGTTTCTTTTACTTTTGCAAGGTGACTGAAAAGCCGCGAGAAGTGCAGCAGCCCTTTTTGCTCCTCATCGACTTCTGCAAACGCCAGTAGATATGCAAAACTACTACAGGAGATTACAAGTCACCTACCTCCAAAATCCTCTGCAGTCAGCGGCACTCCAAACTCTCGACTCATAGACACAATCATGTCAGCTGAAGGAAATAAGTCGTTACGAGTCACCTCTCGGAGTTTCGTGACTCTTAACATCTGCAAAAAATATGCGGTCATGACTGTTAAGCAACAACACTGACTATAAACTTGTTCCCAGCGTCACCTTAAGAGAGAGGACCTTCGGAATGGGGTCGAACAGTGATAAGGTCTAGTTAGGAATTGAGGAAACGGTCCTTATACGCCATTTGCATGATGACATCATTTTACTACTACGACCAGAATCCTTCAGGGGTTTGCTTTCTTGTGCAAATTTAGGCTTTTGTCATTGAAACCTCAGTGGGATTACCAAATTTGAATATGAAAGGAAAAACGAAAAGACGTTTCTTTTTGCGTTTTCGATGACTGGATTCACTGGGTTCGTGTGGAGTAAAGGCCAATTCGTGTCAAAAAGTATGCAGTTTCTAAAAAATATTTGGATTCGTGTGGACGTTGGCTATAAAGTATGTAACGAATTTTCCAGCAATTGCAGACAGGAAAGCAATTGTTTGGCGGTCACTAAAGCAAATCATTAGAGGGTTTAAGCTTCAAGTATACGGAAAAAGGCAAACGTCAGATTCAAGTTAAGAATTTCTCAAAATAAAGGATGAGAAGAAAAAAACAGCTCAAAACAATTCTTATGGACAAAAAATTGCGTGAAATTACTAATTTAGGTGTAGAAATGATGAACAGTAAACGACAAGTAAAGAGGAAACTTGTCGGGTCACGTAGTACGACAACGCGTTTGCCGTTTGACGTAAACATGATCCACAAGCCTCCCACATAGACGTTCTTAGGGGTTCGTCACGCGTTCCTGTGGGGTAGGAACGCGTGACGAACCCCTAAGGACGTCTACGTGGGAGGCTATCTGCCCACAAGCCCAATAGACCTATTCGGCTCAATGTTGTACCCAATTCAAATCTCCCGGGGATAAGATTCTTTGTGTATTGCATTTGCATTATAATGTGGCATTCACATTTAAATGATATGGAAATTCCTGAAACAAAACGTTTTATTCCCAAAGGGTTTGAATTGGGTACAACATTGAGTTAGCCGAATAGGTCTATGCCCAATTGCCAATGACACATTATCAAAGTAACCCTTACTGAGGATATTACATGGCCGCGCGGAGATACGAAATTTCTTTTCTCGAGTTGAAAAATATTTCGCTTGTTCGTGCGCTATGTATTATATAAACACCAACAAAACACTACACCTTTTCAATTCAATGGTTCTTTTGTGATAAAAGGCGCTATTTTTTATGTAGCCATAGCAACGGTGACCTTTTCACGTGTCAAGAAAACATGTTATTTTCACATGTGAAAATAATCATGTTTTCGCGCGAAAGCTCACCTGGTATTTCATTGGTGGTTATTTTATAATGTTAGTTACTATATAATAGTGCATGAAGAATTAAGTAAGTATTTAGCGACAATATTAAGTGTGTCACTCCCAGTGCTCAATAGTCCGTTGTTTTTCCAGACCTCACCTGGTCGAGTTTGGCCAATGCTTCGAAGCAGGGTTTCGGTACCAGATCCCTGACGTACAGCAGTGGATTTTGAACTATGACCTCGAGTGGCTCGTGAAGTCTCACTCGGCACAAGTCCACGTCGAGCGCTGCGTACAACCGCTCGTGAAACCGCAGAGCAGAATTGTAAAGGACATTGAACTTGGTGATATCTAAAGCAAAGGCAAAAGAATAAAGTATAACGCTTAATAACATGAAAAAGGAACGCTGATACTTCTATTCTTGTAAGGTTTTGTGTAAACTATGCAAGAACTGCATGTATAAAAATACACTAGCTGACGCAAAAAAAACAACAACAAAACACAACACAGCAACAACAACAAATTCTGTTTGACGAGAGAAAGATAGCAATTCCTTCCAGAAGGTGAGAGCAAATAAAACAAATTTTTCTTGGCCGATTGATCCCGGTCCAAACAATACCAAACCGATCGTTACTTTGCACTTTAAGCATTTCCCGCGGACACCCATTGTGCCTATATAGAATAATTATGTACTTTTTTTAATAATAGGCATAAACACCAAATACGATAACAAATATCAACACATCTAGTTATTTTAATGAAAAAGAGTCCTTTTCGGTATTCAAACGAACTGACATTCCTCAAACCAAACACGTACTATTTCTTGACAGTTTAAAGCTACGTGCAAACGGACGCAACGACTCCCAACAAAGTTGCGTCCGTTTGCACGGGGCTAAAAAGTTTGACCGGTTTCAAACTTTGCGCAACAACTCTCAACAACACGCAACAACATGCAACAGGGTGTGCAAACGGACGCAACATGTTTCATCCAACAATGTTGGGAATTGTTGGCCATCAATGTTGCGTCCGTTTGCACTTGACCGAAGTCCCAAGAGTGACCAACATCAATTTTCTCTCAACACTATCCATAAATCATCAAGAGGAAATGTTATGACAATTAATGAAATGATCACCTGAGGGAAAACGCTTTGATCCTTTGTCAAATTCTCTTATCTACATGTAATTCTTTGTGGAATGAACTGAGATTAGTCTGGATTATTTTTATGCGGACATTGAGGCTTAAAGAGTTAACAATGTACCTACCTTCTTCCTGTGGTCTGGGTAGTTTATCCCAGAGTTTTTTGATGCCCTCATTAGCCAGACCTTCTAAAACAAACACGTGGTACTGTCCATCAAGAACTTGAAATCCTGTTATAATGTCTAATGTTTTGCTCTTTCGCTGATCTCTGCGGACAGAAAGTAACCAGACTAATTGATTACGACTGCAGAACTCTGTCTGCTTCGTTCCCAGTCGCTCGCGTTCACTTCCCATCACTCTCCGCGCTCTGTGCTCGTTCCCACCATTCCCCTCTCTCCCTTATCGCTCGTCTCCAGGCATTCGCAATTCTTGCTTGTAAGCCTTGGGAAAGCCTGTGGACAAGCCTGTGGAGAAGGCAAGAATTCTGTGATATCCACAGACCGCCTAACCTTCAAATTTTTCGAATGAGTGTTTTTTTTTTTCCCTTAAATTTAAACCGCGAAACGACGAGAGATTTCTCGTTTCAGAAAGTACGAGCCTCGTACGCGCGAAGGCTCATCCCAGTCCTACTTTTCGGCTTTTTTAGAGTCTGGGTTGAATATATGGTAATGCAACAAAACAACTGGGAGTTTAAAATCTTCAGACATAAATCTTCTAAGAAATTTCTTCGCATTGTTCAGCAGTGACAGAGTAAATCCTTCAAAATGTTTCTATTTTGCCCTAAAAGACACCGTCTAGTTCTTACCTTGAAAGTTTGTACGTTGACAAAGCAGCCTCGATCACATGTTGCGGAAGTGTGTCTAGTTCCAGGGCCCCGGCATTGACCGCTGTAATTTCTGACTGCAGTTGGCGAAGAAATGGTGCATTTTTGTATTCAAACATGTAAATTATACGACCAAAAGGGCACTGCGAATAGATAAGATAAGCACGTTGAAGAATGAAGCCGCATGGTTGGTTTTCAAACTCAAACAAACGAAGAGCAATTAGCTTAACAGAGAGTGCAAAAGAGACGGGGGGGCATTTTTGGCCACTCATTTAATTTAGCAAACATTATGGTATTAATGATCCATACAGAACTAGAACGCAAAGTGAAAACGCGACGGAACTTCAAGTTGGACATCATGCAGCCGAAGATCCACAATAAATCAGAACTTCCAGCACACGAATTATACATACAGCATACCAGATCAGTCCACGTGAACTATTAGGGTCATGATGCATTAATATAGTATATCATAAAGACTAAGAGGAGGGAGGAAGCCTTAAAAAAGAGACGGGGGGGGGTGCGTTATAACTTTTTCCACCTAAAAGGGAGAGGGGCGCTTATTAGAGAAGAGGGGAGGGTTAATAGAGGATTTACGGTGCAGTCGAACCTCTTTAATACGGACAGCAAATGGACAGAGCGAGGTGTCCGTATTAGAGAGGTGTCCGTATAAAAGAGGTTACTACGATGACGTCACTTTTATGACTGCAATTACAGTTTTAAGTGTTCAGTAGCTAAAACCAGGCTTACAGTCGTCTATAAACTGCATTTAAGTTTATTAATTCACAGTACAAAGACACTGTCCTTCAGTAGCATTCAACATTGTACATATCAGCTACGTACGTACAGTCGTAGACAAATCACTGCTTTAAAACGAAACGAGCTACAGCGCAATGCTGCATGTAAAAAGTTGTAACGTAAAGCACAATTCTGAAAGCGCCTTTCGCTATTCTGCAAGCGCAGTAAACAGTAACTATAGAGTACAAAATATAATAGAAAAGATCTTTATGCTATCTGTAGTTATTCAAGCCTTAAAAAAGTCGGTTACGTTCCTCTGTACACCTTTTGCAGATCGCTGTTTGATATACAGCGACTGGGCTTTTGAAGTCACCTTGCATAGCTCATCAGCCAGACGGGATTCACCCTGTGCAGATTCACCTTATCGGGATTCAGGATTCACCTGATCACCGCAGTGTCCGTAATAAAGAGGTTACGTTTATATGCCGAATTTTTTTTCTGGGGCCGAGATTTAGTGCCCGTTGTCCGTATCACAGAGAGTCCGTATTATAGAGGTTTTTGTTAAAGAAAATATATGAGAATTTTGTCGGGACATTGGCAACTATGTCCGTACCGAGAGGTTCGACTGTATTACCAATGAACTCGGACTTCAGCATCAAGGGCACCATTGGCTGCTGCTGTCGGTCTATTTATGAGCTTACTGTATTCTATACGTGATAAGTGAAGTGCTAACAAGCAGACGATACCACCAAACCTATCTATTAACAATGATCCGTTTTCTGTTCACTTACGTTTGTTTGCTAATTGTCGGAAACTTAAATAAAGACGTACCGGAAAAGGCGACCGGTCGTTTCGCTAAAGTCCCGTTCGCTAACCACTTACGTCGTTTCGCCAAGAAGCGAAACGAGAGCTGTGTATATATATTTGCACATGATACAAAAAAAGCCACGATACAAAAAAGTGCGATACGCTTGTATATACCTCGTTCTTTCAGCCAGTGATCAGGCGAAAGCAGTTGGGGAAGTGACCCAAAACGTACGCGAAACGACTTCAGAAGTTAGCGAACAGGAAGTTGGCGAAACGACCGTAAACCCCGGAAAGGACAAATGCAAAGGCCAATACTTCCATGATATAAATTACCCTAAACTCACCTCATCCTCTTGCTTGGTGGCCGTGGGCTCGACAGAATTCTCAGCGTTTAAAGGATAGGCAAGATCCACCTTGACCTTCAGTTCACTCCCGTGTTCCAAGTAATTAGCAACTAGCATGGGTTTATCCTCTGAAAAAGCATTTTTGGCGTGTTACTAATAATTTTCTCCTTAACCACAAATTCATGTTGCTACGATTGTATAATTTTTCCTTTTTGCAAGCCTTTTAAAAATAGTAAGTGTTGCAAATACGTTTTATGTAAACCTCCACAGTCTCCGGCTCTCACTGAAGGAAATTATTTTCAGCTTTGTCATTTTTTGGCAATGAGCAGAATTCTGGGAACTCATTGACTGAGACAGTGGTAATGGATTATTACGCACGATTTCCAATTTCCCCTTCAGTGAGCACATATTTTACGCAAAGTAACTTCATCTTTGTATGGGACAGGAAAATGTGGCTTTTCAACATCACGTGACGTGGTCTCGTTTGACTTCATGCAGAGGGACCACTTATGATTCAGTAAAAAAAAACTTTAAGACAACTTAATACGTTCGTATTATTTTTCATTTGGCGTAATCAAATGTATTTAAATTGACGTTTGGCCACTAAGTGTGGTTTAAACTTTGTTTGCTGCTTCTGTTCTGGTCATTCTTAAAGAAATCGATGCTTTACAATGAAGGCCGCCCCGGTTGTCCAGCCGTCAGAAAGCGCTATCCAACGGATAAATCACGACCCAGCGGATAAATATTAGGGAAACTAACTGCGTTACCTACTGGATAGAGATTTATCCAGTGAGTCGCGTTATCCACTTTCAAACAGCTGAGCCTAGAACATAGTAAAAGTCGGCATTAAACCACAACTTTGAATTCTTCATTCCGTATTCGGAACGCCTTCAATTTACCACTCATTGGATTGAATTAGCGAGAAATTGCACATTATTTTGCCACTGACGGTAGTCTCTGCCCAGTATTTAACGTACCTGGTCCATCGACATTCCCAGGTTGTCCCACGATAGGTCCGTCTGGCTTTTGCAGTCCAGAATGCGTGTCCGGCAGGGGACAGCAGTGTATTGGTGACCTGAGATGTAGGTATTTTTGACCAAGTAACAGACCTGACAAGTCAAACTTGGCTATACCGTACGGATCCCAGGGCTTGTCACGGCTGCTGAACGGGTTGTGAGTGGTGCGGCGGCCTAACAAGAATAATCATAGCACAAGCTCATATCTCTAATTTCCATGACTTTCCGTCGCTAGTATTTTCTGCATCTTTGAATGGGGGCATTTGAAAAATGAAAGGTTAAAAGATGTAAGGTTTAACACAGGACATTAGTTATTCGGCGATTCGTGCCTTATGGATCCTACAGAAACTGCTACTCATTTTGTGTCATGTAAATTGCCGTTCTTCTAGAACAATTGAAGCTATCCGTTATCAATAAATGCCGTTCTGTGTTAAAGGTAATCTTCTTTTATCATTCTCATTTCCTCCTTTTTTGGATAAGAAAAACGTTGCTTAGGTCGGTTGGACCAGAGAAATGGAGACAAATAGATTAGTGGATTAACGCATAAAGAGATCTTCCATACAAACGTCTGTCGTGGTCTGTAGAAACTCGTAAATCCAGTTACCCGT